AAATAACTGAAAACCAAAAATAGGCACTGCAATGGAACTACTGTCTCAAACTAACTCCGTCCTCCAATTGTTGGATATAATCAAACAAATTACTCACCGTTTCTCCGCAAACTCGGATAGTGCGGTCATTTGCTCCTTCAAACCCTTCCTCTTACGGATATCTGTCACAAGCTGTGAAGCCTGGGATCCAGCTTCCAATGGATCAGACATCATCATCTCCCAATGATCACAGACACATTGTGGGAAGGCCTGCCCTGAAGTCGAAGCCCTCATTCACCAGAGAACCCAAAACATTCAATGACGGGGAGGTATGCCTTCATATTGTAGCGTGGGGTACCAGGCCTCTGCATTTCCTGAAACACGGGCCCACGTTTCTGATTAAGAACACCGTACATACCACTCAGAGTCTGCTCTGGAGCTTGGATTTGAACAAGATAGACAGGTTTAAGGAGCCTTGGCTTGGCAGTGAGTTGGGAAGCATAGATGAGTGTCCTAGCAGTGGGAATGACCTCACCACCTCCTCTGTGGATGGCAGCAGCATGAAGAACCACATCACACACTTCAAAGCAAATACCCCTCATGTTTTCTTATGCCAATGCAAGCTGAATACAGGTTGGTTCTGTAGCTCCTAATGAATGAGCAAGCAAAACAGGAATAAACACAAATCCATAAATTTTTTCAGCAACAAGACACAAGCTCCTAAATAAATAAAGTAACTCATAAAAACCCTAGTGGACAAAATGCATAACAACAATTTAAAACGCATACACAAATAACACACAATACAAATGTTTTGCGAGTTCCACTAGCAACGCAGAGTAAAAAGTAAGAAAACTGTACCTGAAGTATTACGATCAAGTCAGAGAATGAACCATTCTTAAGCATCCATACACAGGAACTAAAAAAAGCATCCAAAACCAGCAACTATAAAAGCATCCATTAACACCAACTATAACAGCATCCATAAAGAGCAACTACAAAAGCATCCATAAACAGCAACAATATTTACATATGGAGGTGTCCAAAATAGTTAACCTTCAAAATCGAAACAGTGTGTGTGCCATGTAAGGCAATTAGCCACTGCTTCTAGATTGTACAATATTACACCTCGCAATACTAACAAAACCAACTAGCTATGGCAAAAAGGTAGGATTACAAGCGAAAGTAGGGCCAGCAAAGCTTCCACGTCTACATCTTCATACAAAGGAGTTCCTAACATAAATAATGAGCAAAGTGAATT